AATACATAAAATAGTATGGCTAAAGAATACATAAACTTTAAATCAACCACGAAAATAACTAAATAAAACTTTAAAACCAAGAGAAAGAGGGTTGGCAGCTCATGCATGAGAAATTTGGTTATAACCAACCCTTGAAATAACAAAAGCACCTTGTACTGTGGAGGAAACTATCCAAATGCCTTCAATTATGAGTATTGCTTCTTAATTTGAGGAGATATGGCCGTCCAACAATTGCTTTCAAACAATGATACTTGACCAAACATGATCTAGCCACCTTAAATTTAAAAAATACATGATATATTGAAATAAAATAAGTATAAAGTTCATGCAAAGTAGTGACTTGGTTTGAACTCTTAATCCTGGCATATGCACCACTTGATGCTTTGTATCACTAAGAAAGGAATTTATTTGATAACATAGTTGTTAGCAATAAAAAAAAATTCCTTTAGATTAAAAATAAGAAAACTCATCTTTCTTCTCATTATTACAGTTGACATCTGATAATGAACAATAAAATAATTTAACACTAATTCCTTCCTTTCCACTCTTGTAGGAGGATAAAAAACTTTGCATGCCCTAAGATATTTGTAAGAGATTATGAAAGATAAAGTTGCATTGGGGATTTTCTTTTTTTTGGACATTAGGTCATTTAAGACAAACTCACGCAAACAACGCATACACAAAGACTCGAACTCAAGACCTATTAGTTGAATGTCTAAGCTCTCAACCAACAAGCCAAGGTGAGTTGTGTATTGGGGATGTTGAAATTTCGAATAGTACATTTTACGTCAACATGTTCAAAAGTATCAAATATTTAAACTTTACTTCTACTAATTTTGACCTTTAACTAGAGCAATCATGTTTCTCGTCTCTTTTGCTCCTACTTTCTCCTCTTATAGCTAGCTGCATATTAAAAATTATCTTAAAATAGAAACACCTTGCGACAAAGAAAGCAAGAGAAGGGTCAAGAGAGGGTGAGAGAGCCAAGCAAGAATAGTATATTAAGCTCAACTTGCGGCCTGATGTTTAATTCTCCTGACTAGTAAAAAAGTTGATTAGCATTGGAATTGATGACAGAAGCCATTTCATGTTGGACTGTAATAACGAAGAAAGTATAGAATATTACTCAAACGGCAATGACAGATAATTAAATGCACACAAAGGTACTTACCGCGGAGGCCGGATAACAAAGTTGATAAATTGATCTATCATCTTCATTCCTCGCAGCCAGCCCACCTGGAGGTGCTGCGGGCTGATGGGGCCTCTTGAAGCATCAATATCACAAACCTCCGCCAATTCTGATAGTGTTGAAATGCAATCAACGAGAAACAAAAACCACTTAACTGCCGGAAATCAAAGTCCCGAAAGAGGCCTGGCTCACTACATCTCCATCATCCAACAAACTAGGAGGACGAAAACTTCAACTTAATCCTCCAAATATGCAGGCCCAACTCCCAAGAAACTCCTGCTACTGTTAAACAACCCAGGCTCGTCCGGATACTAATCAAATATCATAAAGCACGGATTGACAAGAAAAGATGAACAATAAAAGCCGGAACATTAGCTCCGGAGGCCATAGTGCTTTAAACTTTAAAGATGCCAACACAAAGCGTCATTCCAACTTCTGGAAAAAATAAAACGGCTTGTTATCAAGACAATTCTGCATTCTCACCCTAATCCTTTAAAAATGCGATGGTCTCCGAATCCAGCTCCAAATGTGCGATGCAAAAGAATTCATCCCCAGTTTTTCAAGACAACCATCTCCGCATTCCGCATCGAACAAATTAACATGAATCCACCGAACTTGATGTCGCTTACGAGATGAATCCGCCCTAACTTCCACCCAAATAGTGCAACAACAAAACTACCAAAATTCCAACACCTGATCAAAATACCAAAACAGCAAACGAAATTGCTAGAGCCTGCCCTGTACTATCTTAAAATTCCACCACTCTCGCAGATCCTAAGTTCAAAATGCTCCAGCAGAGCAAAAGATGCCAACGAAGGCGCATGGAAGCCCTAAAATTTAGCGAAAATGACAGGAATCTCAGCCACGTGACTACAAAGTACGAAAAAACACCAACAAAATGGATGAAACTAAATGAGCGAAAGAAGATGACTACCATATTGGCCGAATATTCTCGGCAGAAACGCCGGCAAGAACGTCGAAGAGAGAAGCAGCGAGTGAGCCAGCGACAGCGACTCTAAAAGTAGAGTTTTTTTTATTTATTTAGCTCTGCTAACTCGGCGCTGAAAATGGATAATCATTTTTTTTTTTTTTTGGGAAAAATCAATTTATTTCAATGAGTTCAGCTTATTTTGATCTTGACTTCAACATAAAAAAATTGGGTAAAATCCTTTCTTTATCTTTAGTGAATATCGCTCGGAGACGCAGCTATGCTAGGGTTTGTTTTGGCGCCCTAGTTTGGAGGCTTTTCCGCCACCGCCTAAGGGTTTTCCCATGGCCGACTTCCCCCCGCTCGGCTCCACCGCCACCACCTCTCTTCCCCCTCCCTCATCCTCTCCTCTTGATTGGAAGAATCTTTTAGCCACTACCCCGCAAGTCTCTACGACTTTCTCTCACTCCCTATCCTTTGTTCTTGCCAAAAACCTCATGGCTCAGTTCTCCTTTGAGCAGTTCGTTGCTGGTGCTGTTGAATGGTCACTCTCCTTAGTTGGCTACTCAATCGGTAAGCGACCGTTCTATGAAGCTCTATTGACTACGAACAAAAAAACTTGGAAGCTCAAGGGAGATTTCTCTCTTCTTACGATGGATGATGGCTTTTTCCTTCTAAAGTTCTCTGCTTTAAAGGATTACGAGCTTGCTTGGAGTGGAGGGCCATGGTTTTTCTTTGGAAAACCTTCATTTTGCAGAAGTGGACACCCGAATTCGTTCTAAAGCGTGAAGAATTTCCATCCATTCCCTTGTGGATCAAAATCTGGAATCTCCCCCTCTCTCTCTGGACTCCGGAAGGTATTTCGAAACTGGCTAGTTGTATTGGTATTCCACTTGTTGTTGATGCACTTACGGCAGCTAAAACCAGACTCACATCCGCTCGTATCTGTGTTCAAGTAACTAGTTCTTCCACTCTTCTAGAGGAATTTTTTTTATTCGATTGATGACAAGTCTTTCCCCTTACGTGTGCAATATGATTGGAAGCCCAATCATTGCACACAATGTGGTTCCATTATGCATCCGCCCACTCTCTGCCTCAAAGACCCAGTTACTCGTCATGCTATTGCTCCCGAACCTAGGGGAAGGAGTACCAGTCGACAACCCAGAATCACACCACCTCCCAGACTACTTAACCCAAAGCCTCCTATAAACACTAAAGCCGACAACCTACCACAAACCCAAATCTCCCCTCCTCTTCTGATCTTGCCTTCTGGACCAGTAATCCCAAATCTAAATTCCCCTTCTGGAGACCCTGTTATTTGCTCTAATCCAATTCTCACAGGAATACAGAATCCCCCTATTTCTACAGCTAAAAACAAATTCGATGTTTCT